GCTAAGAAGATTTCACTCTTGCTGTCTGGGCACACTTGTTGCACTGCTTCATCTCTCTGCCCTATCATCCCCATCTCTTTTTAGATCCACAGGCTGGCACAGCACTAATTAGGAACAACACCTGCAGAGCAGGTGCTTTTCATGCACCCATGCCCTTGGGCTCATTACCCTTAAAGCAAAAGGACTTTGGAGAATCTGGAAGCCAGAGCACTAACTCACCTATACTGAACTCATACAGGAGGATTTTCCCAATGACTTCTACCCTGGTCAGGTACTACTTACATTGCAAGCACATTGAGAAACTGAAATCCCTCTCGTGCATTATTCGCATACAGAAGCAGTTCTGGAGAACTTACACTAAATAGACCCAAAGGATGCACCAGACTCAGGAATAGTACAAAAGAATAGAAAACTCTGTAGCCACAATACGATTATTGGTTTAAAACCTCTGGCAATCCTTCACACGGCAAAAATAGCACAGCTTGCCAAATCCTGCACTCCAAATAAACACCCTCTAAATGCAATTTCTGAAGTTTTCTATAGCACAGCCTAGATTCTGACTGCAGTAATACACCGTCATATGTAATTACCTTACTTGAAAACTAGAAAAACACAGCCTAGATAAAATTGGATAAAAGTTGGAAGCAAGAGAGCAAGGAGACAGCCAGTACTCTCTAGTATAAGGATAGAATTCAAAAGTATCTTGACATATCAGAAAAGCTGTCAGGGAGGAGCAACTAGTTCAGAAAAAACTCAGCACACTCAGATACAGGGTTTTAGTGACTGGCAAGCTAAGAGCAGGCTATTTTAAAGAAAGCACAGTGTAGTATGAGGAACAAACAAGAGGATACCCCACAAGACATGAGAAGCAATCCTGCTTCATGCTCAAGTACTGTTAGAGATGCATCTAGATGGTTATGTCCAGTTTGGGGCATTTCACTTCCAAGCAGATGTAAATCAGCTGAAGGGAACTAACTGGAACAAAAATGAGGATTAAAAGACATAAGACACCACTAATCTCATTTTGGATCTAGCCTCTCACAAATTCAGATTAAGGCAGACATCAGGGAAAGAGTCTGACCTCTTTTATAGCAAGCACTGTTCAAGATCATATAGTTAATCCAAAACAAACCAGGAAATAGACCTCAACTTCCTCTCCAATACCTCGGTACTGGCACCTTTACTCTTCATGTTCTCATATGTGCAGTTGGGTAGGAGGGAAGATTTTGGCAAGCTCAACTGCACAGTAAAATGGAAAAACCCAGGGAGGGGAAACTTGAAAAACAAAAGAAAATGAAATCCCAGCATCCTATAACTTGAAACTACCTCTTCTCTATACTTCACTGCCACGTGAAAACAGGAAACGCTGCTCTAGCATTTTTCATTCCTTCTCAGCCATATTAAACATTTTATGAGCACAGATAGTCCAAAAGGAACACTGTGGCAGGCCATAAACTGTAGAAATGTATATACTCCAGACATATACAACAGGAGTACACACAGAGGGCAGCAGGACTGAAGCTGGTTATAACTACATTTTAAACAGTCGTTTTCAACTGAAACCAAATTCTGCCTTTGGAAAATGATTTTTAACAGCCACCAAAAAGACAAAGCCATCTCACTTTGGCACTATAACAACCTTAGCAGATACAATAATTGCCTTCCACTTGATTTTTCATTTTGTTCAATATTATAGAGGGATAATTTAACATATACAACCTGCCAACAAAACAAAATCATTTTATAAAGTCTGAAAGCAGAAAAACTAAGAGCTCTAGCCTATAATTTCCTTTCAGAAAGCACAAATTAAAAATCATGCCAAAGTGCCAAAGTGTCCTTTACAAGCAGAAGTGGTCATTTATATTCTTCCATTTGGGCTTTTTTTTTTTTTTTTTTGAGACATTTGCACTAAAACAAAGAGTAACATTGATAAAATTTGATAAATCAACAAAGCTATAGGCTCATATGTGAAAAGGTTGCTAAGCAACAGAACATGGAAAAAGAGAGTATTAATAAAAGCATTTTACAAGTTTCATAATCTGTTACTCAAACTGATCAAACACACTGAAAAGTATGAACACCATTTTCTGCTCAGCTCGCTATTTAGTGAGGACAACACCAGGTTTGCTGCAAGCAGAAGGTTGAATATTGGAGCAACAGAAGAAAAATATCTTAAAGAACAGGAATTATTCTTCACTAGAAAAGCATTACTTTTGAAACTAATTTTGCAGATGAAAGACTGTTTTCAGGGACAAGTCCCCTCCCATATATTTCAGCAGAAAAGAGTCCATACTTCCCACCAAATTCTTACCCACAGAAATTCTGCTATTTCAGTTCCAGAAAAGGGTTTTCTCCTGATAAGGTCAACGCCTCATTAAACACACACATGTTTCTCCATAATTTAATCTACAAAACATTTCTCATTAGAAAATTTCAAAATAAATTCAGTTGTTCCAGTTTCAGAAGAAGCAAGTTTCTCTTATTTTTAGATTTTAAAATCTTGCAAAAATAATCCTAAAGGACTGCATGTCAGCAAATGATAGACCAGATGGCCAAATCAATCTGGAAATCTGATGCATCTCCATAGTCTTGGAAAATTAACACAGTAATCATCAACTGTAACAATAATCAGCTAATTTCCCCAAACTTTCTACACATTTCTTAACAAGTCCAAGCAAAATGGCACTGAAACCATTTTTCAGACATTTTCCACTGTGGAGTTTGTTTAGATCTCCATACACTAATATTTTCACTTATCAGAATCAAGAAAATGAAGGTGAGAAGCTGGCAAACACCCACCTCTGGAAACACAATAGAACAGAAGCAAGGATGAAACCAAGTGGAAATACTTCATTGTAATGAAAGAGCAACTCATCCGAGTCCAGTTTGAAGACACTCTTTGCCAAAGGAAGCACTTCACTCTTCAGAGTCACCTCACTGTAGGAAGCTAAAATAGTACAGCTAAATATACTTCACAAAAGACAGCAGAAGAGGCACTGCAGATATCCAAATTTCTGAATGTAAATTGATTTTTGAGAAAAAAAGTTTATGAAACCTCAAAGCATGGATCAAGCTGAACACTTGGCTTTTCAAATATGAGATCCAGCATTTAGGCTTAAGGTTTACAGAACAGTACATTGCAGCATGAAACACACGGAGGTGAGAAATGTGAGAACCAAGAGTGTGAAAAGACCTCCAGATTACTTTGACTGCATAACAAAACAGATCAAGTGAATTTTTAGTTTTCAAATACCACATTTGGGATTAAAAAACCCCACTAACTGCAGATACTATGGGCTTCTTGACCACCATAAACTTTTTATACCACAGCAAATAAAAGCATTAGAGAATAGTCAAAGTTTATCTTTAATTTGCACAATAAATCATAATGAGGGGAAGAAAGTGTCTCTCCTCCTAAAGTATTTAATAATATAGAAAGTTAAAAAAGATGCACTGTTCTTTTGTCAGTAGCAATGAGAGCCAGGTTGCTTATCACAAATAAAAAAGATTCTTTACACAGATATAAGGACACATCCCAGGTAACAGTTTAATGGGCAGCTACTGCTCTTGTTTAATATCAGGGCTTTACAAAATAAGTTTCATCTCCAGTACCAACCTGTCACTCAAGAGCACATTTTCATGGCAGTTTGCTTTTCCAAGTGCCACTTCTGAAGTGCTTTTCCAATGGGGATGTGTGGCCAGCTTCAATCATATTATCAGTTGCTAGTAGCTAGAAGATCGGGAGTTATAAATATTAAATCTTTAAGGGTAAAAAAGCGTCAAGAACACTACTAGTGATCCTGGTTTCATTCCGTATTGAATTTTAGTTTTAGCTCTTCACTGAAAAGGAAGCATTATTTTTCCTACAGCTAATGTGAACACTAAACTATTTATAGTCCCTTATAGAAAGGGAAAAGAAACTAAAGAACTATAACATCTTCCAATCAGAAGTTAGCTGTTTTTCAGAGAATGGCATCAGATTTTCCCAATGTATCAATGCCACCAGTCTACCTGCTTTCTTGGTTTTCCTGTCTTGTTCTTAACGTCCTAAACACTAGTAGGTGCACTAATTTAGGATTACACTAATTTTTCGTACCTGAACTTCAAAGGCCCTTTTGCAGGCTTTGTTTTCCCCCAAAGGTCCTCACATATTGCAGAACATGTGGCAGAAACAAATCCACTCCCCTTAAAGTCACTCCTGAACCTGTGACACATTTCTGACATCACAGTTACTGCCTAGTTACCTCCAAAGAGACAGAGCCTCAGACCTCATCACTCTGTCTACAGTTCTTGACAGTTTTTCCTCTTACTCTGCAGTGCAGAGTATCTTACCTACACTATGAAATATTTCCAACACTTGAGTCTCAATGACATCTTTGGAATTCTGTTTCTGACCCCTTGATGATCATACAAAAAAGCTATTTTTCCCCCGAACTACTTTCATGGATTTTAGAACTTGTAATACTCTTTTCATCGTTTTTACTTAGTCCCTGGACTAAGGGCATCTGTGATAAAGTAAATTCTTCCTTCATATTCTATCGGCAAATCCATAGACAAGGATTTGGTGAGCTTCCATTCCATGTTAGTTAATGTACATTATCATTCACAAAAGAGTATACGTTCCTGTAGAACACAAGGCCTCTTCAAATCCTATAAACAGAAGTGATGAAGGTCAAAAGAAATCTTCACTGAAGCAGAGTAAGGAAGCAGTGCATTAGAAAGGAACCATCAGTGCAAACCACATTAATTTGTAGCAACACAAACTGTGAGATAAAATAAATAACAAAACACTGAAAAACACTGGAAAAAAACTTGTAAACCCTTTTTTGTACTCAAATTTGTAAGTTCTTAAATGAGCTCACAAGTAAGGAAAAAAATTACCTGATATCTGCTTGAAAAGCCCTGCTAGGAGCTTCAGCTGTTTGTAACATTTCCATTCTTCTTTGATTTTACTACTCAATATTGTAAGTTGGAAACTTAAAAGAGGAGCACGAACTTACTGGTATTGAGAACTCCTCTGCCAAATACTTCAGCAGCGATGCTCCTTTAGCCAAGAAGTTACTTCTCTCTGTCAGGTTGCCTTGGAGCTTTGGATCAAACTCCTTTCTGACGACTGAAGCAACAGAATCAATTATGATGAGTTTAACCTTCTTTGAAATAATTTCTTCTTCCAAAGACTTAATTCTATAAAAAAAGTAACTTAAAGTTAACCACACAGTGTGTTTTACAATCCTGAAATTGTTCATATAAGGTATATTTTAGAATCAGCTCCTCTTTCTCTCTCACATACCACTCCAAATGTGAATGCTTCAAAGAGGCCTATCTGGAAAGGAATCTCAGGATGCAGATAGACACATAACCCAGTGCAGGAGCCCTCCAAATGAGGGGTTTGGAAGAAGCTGTAGCCAGCAACACTATCCTCTACAGCCCTTGAATGGTGCAGAAAGTTAAGTGGACACTGAAACTGTGCCTTTTTTTCTCATAGTAGCATCCCATTGCCAAGCCCAGAATCCTCAGTACCCACATTCATAAAAAAAAAACAAAATATCTTTCTCTACACTTCAGGCATAGCATGCTAAACCTAACTCATGGATTAACACACTGATATCTATATTTTTCTGATTAAAACTATTAAAGCTTGAAGGAACAGGTATCCTGCCACTAGTGCAGAATGCTCACCAAGATGCTTAAATATTACTCAATCCATTTTCATGTCAATATGTATTGACAAATTAATATAAAGTAGCAACACAACAATATAAAGCTGCCAGCATCAGTCTTTGGATTTGCGACTGCAAAACAAGCCCTCTCCCTCACTGCTGGACAGGTCCCAGTCTTCTGATCTGGAAAAGCAATAACTCCTTTCTGTTTCTTGGCAAATTTAACTAGTCTCTCCACAGAAATCAATAGGTCAAGTCAGGCACCTGTCAGATGAACACTCTTCTTTTAAATGCTTACAAAGGTCAGGATTATATGGAAGTTGTCTATCAGAAACTGCCTACCATAAAACATCAAGTATATTTCATAACCTTTACAAATATCAAGTAATGTCTTTGTGCCAAATTTACTTTGTAGATTTGTAGGACCTGTTCTAGTATCAACATGGAAAGGCCTCAAAGAAATTAATTACTCTTCATAGTATTTACTTGATTGAGAAATTTTATTATTAATAATACTGTTACAGATGGTCAGGTCAGTCTCTTTTTCACCTCTAGAAGATACCTTCTGAGTACACTGCCACAGGTCAGCTCCCGATACAGGTGAATGCTACGCGTCATGGAAAACAGCTTTTCCTCTGAGTCAAAATAAGCAGGGAATCTGCTTTCTGCTATCTCGACCAACCTGCAAATAAACAAAAGACAAAGCAGTGAAAAAGCAATAAGCCTATTGGGTAATAATAAGGCATTAAGGATTCACAATACAAAGGAAAGCAATGCACAGACACATAGGTATGCATCTATATTAAAAAACTTTTCCAAAGATAGAGCACACTTCAGCAGTCAGACTACAATACTGGAGGTTAGAACATTCAGGATCTCTTCACAGTGATGCTAGAGCCAGTGGTCAAGTTGGCCAGGACATAATAATATGCCTGTACAAAGAAACAGCACTTCTGTAGCAGCGGGAAGCAGCCAAGTTTCCAGTCACTGAATGCAAAGGCCCGAGTACTGCACTCAAGAGGTAGTGCACAACTGCCACGTATTCTCCTATTTTAATTACATTTAATTATTTTCTCCAACCCAAATCATCTTTTCTACTTTTATCTTGCATTGAGATATAATAAAGCCTGTCATAAAGCAGGCTTCATGTCATCATAATGTTTGGCAATAAGTTGCTCACAAACAGATCTAGGATCTCTACAATAAGACCCAGCCAACATGGAAGCAGGACTTCAGAGAGTCAAATTCAATTGTCAATACTTATGAAACTATTAAAAGAACATTTCTCAGGTGAAAATCTGTTCATATATGTCTCCTCAAAAACAAGAGCAACCTCATTGAGATAGGAGATACGTGCACTATTTTCATTGTGTCAGTTACCTCCCAGTAAAATAAACTTAGAGAAATCTTAAGAAAAAGTAATTTTCAGAATGTAGGAAAAAATCAATATTGTCTCAAAAAGTATCCAAGGTACACAGGCAAGCTGCCATGACAGAACATCTATTCCATAGATAGGACAGGTACAACTGACATGATATAATGATACAACCAGACAGCTTAAGTGGTAGCTTCAGTGAAGGATGTGACTTTCTGTCTGATTATTTTCTATTACCTTATGAGCAAATTCAAAACCCTGAATTACAACTGTTAAAACATACCACTGCTTATTGCCATTGTAGAGCAATTTTATCAGATAACTGGTGATTAACACTAGAAAATGTCAAATGAGGTTTGGTGGTTGGGTATTTCTCCTTTACTATCAAGTTCTCATATTCAGAACCGAGGCTTCGGAAAAAAACACCTCATACAGGTGTAAAGCTTAACAATTTATTGAGGAAAGGCCAGTATTTGCAATGAATCTGCATATATAAAATCACTGAGGACACTAAATGACACACATTTTACTGACTGACTGCTATTTCTCCTGAAGTCAGTGGAAAGAAGTTCTACTCTGAACTTCTGAACACAGGGCAATTTTCTTCTAGGTCAGTAAATACAGAACCAAGAATTTAACTTTAGAAACCTCATACTTGCAAATTTGAGCACAAATCTGAGTAGAATAAATATTTTTCACAATGAAGATATTTTGAGGAACATAAATTAAAAAATACTCCTTTATTTCAGGCATACATGTCCTACATCCTAACACCTTGGGAAGAGTGACTTCTAGTGGATGATACCTGTAGATACAACTTCCTAGTGATATTTGCCCTTCTATTTTAAGCCGCTTTTATTAAAACCAAAAATGTTAAAGCTACTTTTTAAAAATAGAAACAGCAAGCAGAAGGGGCAGAATCTTAGCTGTGCATTTGCACAGGAAACCATGCACCCATTTTGTATTCTGCAAGGGGTAAATAATCTGCAAGTTATTCAATTGTAAGCATGAAATAAGATTTCAGGATACTTCAAATAAGCATATCGAAGAACATCTCCATTACACAAACTGACTTTAAATTACCTTCTTAGTGAAGCCTTGCTAAGATGGCAGTACTACTTGCACAGCACCATGCAGATTTAGAGTTCTTTAAGATCAAAATCCTGTTTGTCATGGGGAACCTAAGCACTGCACAGAACATAATTGATGTTCTCTGTAATCAGGCAGATCACAAGGTAGAAAATTCCTCAATATTCTCAGCAGTGACTCATGAAAATCTGTATCCGTGCCTTTCAGAAGCAACAAATACAGCTAAAGAGTAAGCAAAGTTACTCTCTTTGGTTGGTACATTTTCAGTTAATAGTTGGCTGTACTTGGACTGCTACAAAACCAATGACAGTAATTTTAATCTCCAAGATTCTGTCTATCTGCTCTGGTGTCCACATGCTGATGTGGTTACTCCCTGCTTAAAGCAGGGTTAGACCAGGTTTTTCAAGACTATCTAGTCAGGTTCCCAAATCCTCCAAGGTAGCACAACCTTTCTGAGCAACATGTTCCTGTGCCTTACTGACCTCATGTGAGCCATCTTCTCTGTATATCCATTTGAAACTGGACGTTTCAATTTATGCCTGTTGTCTCCCTGCTAGCACTGAGCCTTTTCTTTTTTTTTAAAGTATGATTTACTTTTGCTAAATTCACTCTAGTTGTTCCAAATCACCACCTTCTTCACACAATGGAGCATTTTCACACTGTTATCACTTCTGAAGTTTCTTGCTCCTGTTACCCGATAAGCTTTGCTTCCAAATCCGCCCACTGCTACTTCCTCTGCAATTCCTAGTTTAAAACTCTCAGACTGACCAAGTTGTTGGTAAAGATGTTCTTGCCCTGCTTTGTCAGGTGGGCCCCACCTGTCCACAGTAGTCTTCCATCCTCAAAGTGAGGCCCACCAGCTCCATAACCAGGGATCAATCCACAAAATTTGTCTGCTTTTCCCACGCTTTTCCCAATAGTATCTGGTGGGCCACTGGGCCTGACTTATCCTCAGAGCCATGAAGTCCTCTGCTAAAGCTGGTGGTGAAAACATGCATACATCTATACCCTCAGCCAGGCAGAGCACATACTGGCTCCTGTCCATTCAGTGGTTAGGAGAGACACTAAGTGCACAGATGAGTAATTCTCATTGTGAGAGCCAAACAGAAAATCTTAAATGAAACAGAAATACTACACAGGGAATGGAATAATGTGCTGCAGGGCTAATAACGTAGGAGAGAGATGAGGCTACTGCAGAAAAAGAAAAAAATGAAGTATGGGATTGCTAAGACCATTTATAAGTTAGAAAGAGTGCAATTCAACTGTCATATCACAACTGGAATCTTCAATATGATAAAAATTAAGGTGGGCAAATACTTCTAAGTGAATTATAACAGCTGAATGCTTAATAACTGCCACAGGCAACTATTTTGGAAAAGCTTAATTATTGCTCAAAATACATTCAATGCCTACAAGACAGGGCGCTAAAGAAGTTGAAAGCATGCAGTATGGAATTACGTTCTTACCTTTCAGCACTGAACGCAGACTCGGTGTCAATGTATATAACAGCCCCATCCAGTCCTCCCATGCTTATAGGCAGCGTAGCCAGAACGCTCATCATAATACAGAACTGGGTTTTGCCACAACCTGGAGGGCTTGTTATCTACAAAGGAAAAATAACAGCAGAAGCAAGAGATGTCACATTCATTTCACTCTTGCAGTAAAATTCATCACTGATGAAAAATTCCTCTTCTAAATCAACTCTACTCTTGGCTTCATGTTTCTTTCTTCACCATCCTCCTTTCTCTGCTTTCTTATATCTCATCTTTTAGGTGCTCTGTTCCCCTCCCAATTTACAAATAGGCTCTTCCTTAGAACCATAACCAGACTATTCATCTCCTCATTTGTGCTACCTTCTAAAAGTAGGAGATTGACAGGTGATATTCACATTATATTACATCCGTGGCCATTAGAGCCCCTAACTGCTTGAAAGCAAGTCAGATTCACAGGGGTAAGTCGCTGAAGAGGTATCATTAATGCCTTGGTTACAATCAGGTCCCACTTGGAAACCACAGGTATAACTGCATATATCCTGTGAAGTCTGAATCTGTAATATGAACCACACACAATCTGATTTTACCTCTCCCAGAAAAAAACTACTTTAATATTCCTGGTATAAAGTAACAGGAAATGTTAGATAGTAGCTTATACTGCACTGAAATTATTCCCTATGCAGCATGCATTTTGACATTGGTGGTACCTCCCTGTCATCATATTTTAACACACACAGAGCACCTAACCAGCCAGGTAAGCAGGCCAGTTTTGAGCTTTCACCTGCACTCACTCCCAGCCTCCTGTGGTTGGGCAGTATCCAAACAGAATGCATTCAACTCGTGTGAAAGGGTTCCAGCATGACTTCGATTCAGGAGCAAAACCACAGTGATCAAAAGAACATGTTGTTTGCAGGGGTCCCCAGACCCCGAGCACAAGAGCTGTCTATGAGGGACACCAGGAGGCCGATCTTTAATCTGCGGATGACCCTGCAGAGGCTGCAAATGCTGGACTCTGTTCAAATAACTGTACATCCATTGGTTCTATATTTCAGGGAGATGAAGACATAAAATTAATTCTAGGGAGGCTGAAGGATAGAGTAAATACAAAGCAGAAATGACCTAACACACTAACAGTGAAAGCTACAGGTCTGTTCTGACGGTAACCAGGACTAAATAATAATTCAGGAGAAATAAACGTGTGCCCAGGAAAACTACACTACAAAATAAAACAACCCCCCAAAATACCAAGCATTGCCAAATGAGAAAGCTAGATTTAGAGGAAGATATATTGAAATTTAAAAAGAGTATATGACAGTTTGGTGCTAAGTACAAGCACTGCCTTAACTCAAGGAACTGCAGCATTAGTAGGCTGCCATTCTAAGCAGCAGAACTACCTCTCCGGGTCAAAAGCCCTCACATCACTTTTGTCTTCAAAAAAAGGACCAAAAACCGAGCCATATCCGTCAACTCAGTGCGAGCTTTCATATATGGAACATACATGATGCTTTTTCTTTAGGAGCACATGCTGGATTTAGTGAACTACCCATCAGGAGCTAGTACCCCAGCAGTACCCCATCCATCACCTCTAGTTCACAAAATGCTGCATCAACAACAGCTGCCACAGTTTAACAGGAACCCAAAACATATATATTAAAATTGCAGAGACAATACATATTTTCAGAACCCTACCAGCTGTTTCTGCTTAACAAGTCAACTTGAAATGAATGAGGGGAGGTCATCAGTCCAGTTCTGAAAACGAAGTGTTTGGACAACTGTGAGGAGGCTACATAAAAGCCTTTGAAATATGAGCCCTGCCTGGGAGGTACATTGAAATCCAAAACACTGCAGTGGTTAATTAATTAATTAATACACAGGTTATTTCAGCAGAGGTGCCATAAGCATATCTGGGTAGGTCTGCACCACAGCACAGACAGGGAATCTTATAAATGGACAAGAGAGCAATCCAGTGAAGCAGGAAAGAATTTCCATTCCAAAAGACAGCACTACTTCACCTTTATCAGTATTCAGTTAATAAAATGCCATTAAAATGGCATTTGAAGTAAACCACAGTAAACAATTTTAAGACTATACCACTTTATTATTGCTACATATTACGGCTTCAGCAAGCATTTTGAAAAATACAAATGTAGTTGGAAAAAAAGGGCTCAGGTGCCTCTCATATAATTTAAACCCAATGTCTGCAAAAAGTTTGCTGAGCTTGCCTTACTCTAAATTTGCTTTTAAATCAAGAGTCCACACAGACAGAAATGTCAGAACTACAACAGTTTTAAATTTGTCTCTGCCTAATAAAACACACTTTTATTTTTCACTAAGTTATATATTATTTTCCATGGCACATCTGTACAGTTTGGATAGAGTCACAAGGAACTAATTCTTCTTCACAAGAGATTTAAACTCTTCAGTATCCACAAACTTGAGCTTTCACTCAGAACTGCTGGCCAAAAGTTCTGACATCTGACCACAAAATTTCAGTTATGATCTCATTTCCAACCTAAACTCTAAAAGTGGTTTGGGAAAAATGCTCTGAGACAGTGTAGGGCAAAAGCAATCCCCTGGCCCTCCAAAAGCAAGCACATTGGGCTGTAGAAGACACGGCCAGAGCTCTTAACCCTGCGGTTCATGCATTCAAATTCCAAGTTTCCAACCACCCTCACTGCTGGTAAAGTAACAGCAAGGGGATGATTTAGCCACATCAGACAAGATGTAAATGTTCCAAACAACGGTTTTGAAGAGAACTTCTCTCAGATTTGGAATATCTAATAAGAAAAATCCTGTAGGACAACCTGCTGGTCAGCTGTGCTCCAGTCCATTTTTAAGGAACAATTTAGAATGATTTTAAGCTGCAGAATCACCTGAATCCAAAAGAGAACAGGACCTGAGAGGGTTTGCAAGCTACAGTGCAGCATCAAAGCAGCAGCAACAGACATTTGATAGCTTCATACTAAAATTGCACCAACAATCGCACTGAGGAACACTTGCAGTGCTGCCAACCTTCAAGGCTACTTCGAATCTCACAACTTTGCAAAAAAATGCTTTTAATCACATCGCTCCACAACAAGGCTTTAAACAGAAAAATCATTTTCTGCATAGAAAATTGTCCTCTGTCATTATGCTTGTTGGGAAATGGAAGATACATTTTCAGATCTGATCCCTTTTCAGATTTACTACATAAAGGGTGAATAAAAAACCAAACACTTTCTTGATCACCATCTCTAAGTTAATATTCTAATTTCTGGAGTCTGCCTAGTTATCTTGAAGATATTGCTAATTGACAACAGTGATGCACAATGCAGTTTGACCTGCTATGACTGTGCAGCCAAGACCAAACTACTTGCAGGACTCAGCACTTGCAATTACAGCCTCATCCACTAGATGTCTTGTACAGACTTCAATATTTAAATCTTTTAATATACCATATGGGCATTTAAGATAACTGCATTAGACAGGCCTCTGCATTTTTTAATCAAAAGATGTTAAAATAAAGAGATTGAACACAAAAATATTTTTCAGGGAAAGATTTAAAGTCCAAAGGTTATCCTGGCAGAGGGTTTTCCATTTGCAGCCAAGTTAACTCAACTCCGAATTTATTTTTATTTCCCTCAATTACTTTTAAATACATTGATATACATGGTGTTTGACCATTCTTAAAATAGACTTTAGCAATAGTCTCCCACATATTCTGATATCTAAAAGGCCAACATTTTAAAGAAATACTCAAAGTTAAAAAATACAAATTGAAGTATCATGATAATGAACAAAGCTAAGAAGCATTACAAAATACACAGCACTGGGAAACTAAACATTTCACTTATTTCCTGATAACCATTATTTTATAGCATCTGAGGGTAAATATGCCTCACTTCCATGTTTTGAGATCAGCTGTTTGCAGCCCTTCCCTCAAAAAATAACCCCCCTTTACCCTTTGGAGTCGATGTTGAGCTGAACTCCTCCAAAGCCCAGTCCCACCAGCTACTGCTTTGCTGAGAGTTGACACCAGAGCCAGGCCCTGAGTGCAGCCATGAGCCAACCTGACGCTGTGCCCAGAGCCAACCTCCACCTGGGGCTCCGGGGCAGGGCCTGAGAGCTGCCTGGCCACTGGCCCTGGCACCCAGAGTGCCCCAAGGCAAACCCGTGCACGGGCCATCGTTTACTCAGAAATGACACGCTGCAGGACAGAGCTACCAGAAAGAGAACACAGGGACCAGCGTTGATTGATAATCCAGTAACACCTGAAGATGATTCTTGCCTTGGGCACCACCCATGAGCCAATGACAGAGGCTCATGGACATATCAGCATACACACAACACAAAGGCACAGAAAAATCTTTCTGCTGCACATGCAGCACCGCATCTAAACACCAAATAAGTGTAATTCAGTACTTGAGGCAGAACAAGTATGTGAACAGCAATTCCCTATCAAGGAGAGGTCACAGGAGCAGATGGAAATGCCCTGAAAACCAAATCCAAGCCACAAGCAAGCATCATTTTCACATAATCACAAAATGGTTGAGATTGGGACTTCCAAAGACCGTATAGCTCCCCCTTCCAGCCACCACCTCATGTAAGCAGGGTCATGTTGAACATCCAGGTTGCCCAGGACCATACCCAGAAAGCTTCAGAGGACTCCCAAGGATGGACACTCTACAATCTCTATGGGCAGCCTGACACTCACTCTAAAAGTAAGCATTTTTTTCTAACATTCAGAGAGAACTTCCTGGTTTTAGTTTGTGCTCATTGCCTCTTGTCCTGTCAGCAGGCACCACTGAATAGTCTAGCTGCAACCCTTTTATACCCTCCTATCAGATAAGCATGTTGACAAGATGCTCATGCCTTCTCTTCTCCAGGCCAAACAGACCCATGGCTCCCAGCCTTTCATCACATCACAGATGCTCCTGTGCCTTAAGTATCTTAGCATCCACTTGCTGGACTTGCTCCACTTGCTCCAATAAGTCCATTATCTCTCTTTCCTGCTAAGCTCAGAACTGGACACAGCCCTTTTCAAACACTTTGCTATTTTGTCAGGTACCTGCATGAATCAAGCATCATGGTACAGCTGAGGTTGGAAGGTATCTTTAGTTAACACCTAGTCTAACGCTCCCTGTCAAGCAGAATCACCTAGAGCACAACAGAAGGGAAAAAAGTACTTTCTTCATAATAACATTTTGTAACTTTTCACTTTTTTCTTCTACTGTGAAAAGTTAACAAAAAGTGGTGAAGGTTGTTAAAATATTCAAGAAAATATGGTTTCAACTTACCTAAATTCAGAACATGAGACATATGTTTTGGGGTTTTTTCCCCCCAGTTATTTCAAGTGCATAGCTCAGTTCACAAAAACTTTACTATAAAAATGTACACGTGTCTACGGTGCCCAAAACCAGTGTCTGTCTAGCTTGGGATTCTGTATCCAATGTGTGATTACAGCACATGGCTAGGGAGTCAGATAAGAAAAGGACACATGTACTGATGCTCCCTCCAATATATGCCTCTCCATCTCCAATAATTTCTGGCTCAGCAACTTCCTGAGATACAGGCTGCTTTTGTAATACTCAATTTCTCCTCTGAACATTTAGCTAAACTGTCCTTCCAGATTTTGTGAACACTGCAAGTTACTATCTATTTCTGCAGTGTCAGGGCTGTCGAGTACTGGAAGACAAAGCGCTCCTGTTTTTTGTAGGCAAAAAAGTAGCATTACATCCAAAAGCCAGACAGAAACAGATTTAGTTCTATTTACAACTTGTAGTGTTGTAATATATAAGCATATAAACTATAATATAAGCCTTAATTACATAAAGAGCTTTACAGAATTACTGTATAAGACAGTAATAAGTTGCTTATAATGTATAAGTTGCTTATAAAAATGGAAAATTGTATAAAATCATTTTCATGCCTGTATGTTATGCTTTTGTCCCAATTGTTCATGGTATCTGTATGAAAACTAATGACTCAGTAAAGCCAGAGCAACTCCATGTCAGAACAAACTCATGATTCAGCACCTTCTGCTCTCACCACTAAGCAGCTCAGCAGGTCTCATTTACACTTCTACCTTTCTTACTGTCAAATTCAGGTAACAGCACATTCTTGAGTGAGACAAGAATGTGGCATTTGTTACTACAATTTCATAGGAGAATCTTCATATTTATGAACATGGTCACCAACTCTTTTTAATTTTCTCACTTACATGACACACTTCAGAAACATGTAAAATGCAGCTTCTAGTAATTAAAAGAAAAAATTCTCAACAAAAATTCTCACCCAACATTGTTCAAAAAAAACAGGACACAATGGAGTCCAACATGGTTGTGACTGGTGAATTCTAGGAGTGACGTGTGACCACCATGAAATACATTGAACAATGTTACCTCTGTGAGGGATCCACAGGGCACTCCGCCATGCAAGACTTCATCCAAACCGTGTAAGCTGGTGGACAAAAAGGCTGAGGAGGGATTGACAGTCCTCCTCACTTTCATTTCATAAGCCTGAAACAGATGGGAGAGGAGAAAAAAACAAGTCAGGAAAAACTTATTATTGTTATTTATTTTTAAACACCCTGGAAGAGTGAACTCTCATTTACTTTACTGACCTAAAATGACTTAGCACCTGCCAGTAAGCACATGGTTTTCATCTTCAGCTGCATTACCTTCTTTCCCCATCACTCTTCTTCATTCACATTTATATCCCATTTACAGCTTTCAGAGTACATTTTAAAAGTATGTTGCACCCATATCAAGGTCTTACATTCCCATATTTGATTCCTTCCATGCTTTAGTATTAAATCAAAACAAGCATTTTATAGTGATACTTCCAAGTTTGTTGCTGTTTATATTCACCAGAGCTTGCTTTTAACCCATAAAACCACAGCTTTTAAACGAGGAAACACTACACATGTAGTTAGCATGCCGAACTTTCAGAGAAACCTAAAACCAAAGTTCAGGTCAACGTTCATTAGGAATTCAAATCTCTATCAACTCAAGAAGAGATTTATTAAAGATCAAGACTTTGAATAAGATCTGAGCAGATTCTGTATCCATTCTTTCTTTCTTTTTGTGAGGAAGGCTATTTAAGGAATTAGATACAGAATCAATAAAAGGGTTGAATTCCAAGTTCATCTGCTGACTAGAATTGTCCCAAGATCAGCATTCTAGTTCACATGAACTGAGTTCATCTCAAGAACACCCACCACGATGCTTTCAAAAGAAAGGTCTTTTATGGACCTTGCAAAATCTGCTAAAACCACCTGCTCCTTAATTCAACCACTGTGCTTCCAGGACACAAAACAGGCCAAAACAAAGGCAATGAATTTTACTTTGCTCAGAGATCTGAGTTTAGGCTCAGATTAACTTGAAGAATGTATATAGTGTGGAATATATTTTCCAGTTTAACAATTTTTGTATGGCAGAACTTAATCCCTGTAAACTGTACCATGGAAGCAGATAACCACCTAATCCAGTTTTCCTGCATAACACATACTCTAAAATTTTACTCTGTGTTTTTAATCCACAAAATTATGGTTGAACCAGAAGATTCTTGAGAAGAAATAAAAACTTAAATAAGGAATCCAAGTAAATGAATATTTACCACATTTACCTTAGACAATCTGTTCCCATGGTAAATCCTTCCTAGTTGCTAAATATTTTTTCTTCCTCCTCTGCTTTAACAAGACACTACTTGTGACAAATTCAGAAAAAAAGAACACAAAATCCAGTCATGCGTACTGCAGCTAACATCTCTTTCTCTCCTCCCCAATTAGACTAGATGTGTCCTAAGCTATGTTATATGCTCATTTACTTAGAGGGAAAAATTCCTCTAAACAAAACACTGTACTTTCAGGATCACTTCTTGTGTAAATACCAATTTATACTGAAATTCTCATTCTTTGCTTGCAACAAACATTTCCTATAACTGCATGGCTTAGAATAGAAGCAACTCATATATACACTGAAATGCAAGAGAGAATACCATACTTTTCTGTGGCACTCCAAAACAATTCCACAGGCCTGAACAGTCTCTTTAGGCAATAATGCCTCATAAAAGCCACTGCATCAAAACATTGTGCAATCAAAATGAGACAGGACAAACATAAGCTATTTTCCCCAAGGTAGAAAGAAAAAAGCACATTATTTAGCTTTCTCTCAGGCACAGAATTAAAAACATAGTCAACACAGGCTTACTTACTGTCTGCATTTTGGGAGCACAAGCTAGGCTGACTTTACAAAGAAGCTTCTGCACATTGCTGTAGCTCTGCCCCGTCACCTTCATTAGCTCCAGGAGTGGAAGACATAAGAAGTCCTGTAAAATAATTGAACAGCTCTGAGAACCCAAGTTAGATATCAAGGCTGGGGACTAGCATAAACTAGTAATGAGTAAATTAGATCATGTGCTTTATACCAGATTCACAACTGTACTACATTATTCAATGTGATGCTATATCTCTCCTACCTTCCTCTAATACCAGTAAGGCTGCAGTGGAAAAAAAAAAGATCATATTTTAAGAGACATGGAGTAAATGGATCAAGCATATGAGAACTGACTGAAATAACTGCAATGAGAGAACTACTCTTCACCCTCCCTAAAGTCTCTACCTACCTGAAAAACGTTTAGATTACACTGTGTCTTCTACTCTGCAAACTCGGGGCTAGATCCTATATTTACCACACACACAACTTAGATACATAAATGGCATCTCTTGGATTTCTTTAGCAAGAGTTCACAAGAAAGATTTCAGGATATATGCCTGATGACATAGGGACATATTCTACAGGACATAGAATAACACCTCCCTACATTCAGAGCTTAACCTGAGCTCAAAAAATAGAAAAGCACCAACATCACTTCTAATGAACATGCTAGATATGTAACACAGGTATATTTTTGTGGGGCACTTACAAATGGTGTCTTGCTCCACAATGGCAGCCGCTGTGGGCCTCCATTGAAAGAGGCACTTTAAAGTTTGTTAGAAGAAAAGATAAATATTTAAATGTTTTAGTTGGGCATCTATTGCTTTAAAATAGGGCAGCAGGCAAAACAGAGCCTTAAGTGCCCCATACTTTATAGAGGGCAAAGCTTTACACACACTGTTTCGAAAAAAAAAAAAAAATAAGTAAACAGTACTGGAAATAAAACACAAACCCATCCATTTACCTGACAAGTAGTGATCTGATGGCGACCCAGCCTCTCACACAGTTCCTGAGGCAATTTTGCTCTTCGCAGCTTCTTAGCAGCCATCCTCCCTTATCTATGGGGAAAAATAAAAGTTTGAAGGAGGCCTACACAATACCCTATACAATATACAATATATACAATATATATTGTGTATATATACATTTTATATATATTATACATATACAATACCCTATTCCTATACAATTCCACAGTGCCTGCCGAATCTTTTATTTGTTGTTTTGAGATGCCTGCTTAAAGAATATTCACTTAATCCAGAGAAATCCTAAAGCTATTCAACACAGCAGGCCGTTATCAGACATATTACCACAGTGACACTTTCTCTCCCTAAAGATAACGCCGGCCCCAGCCATTTCCGCCCGTTTACTCGCGCAGTTTTCCCTATCCATCCCTTCCCGGGAGGGAAACCCCAGCAGGTGCCACTCAGCTCCGCACTTGGCTTCTGAAGAGGGAGACACGGCGGGACCACCTGAGCTATGCATGGTCTTAGGTTAGGCATACGTTAAAACACCCATGTAGAGACTCACATATACAAATAGAGATTATTCCTGGTGTTTATTTAGTCGGAGCTTTAGGTCTAATAAAAACAGGGGAAAATTAAATAGGGAGGGCGGGCGGCTCTCCCCGACCTCACTCCGCGTTGGCGCAGTTACCAGCCGGGCTCACCTGCGCCCGCCGCGGCTGCACGTGGGGCTCGCTCCGGCCTCGGGGCTCCGTGTTCCCGGGATTCCCCCCTTCCTGGGATTCCCTTTCCCGGGATTCCCCTTCCCGGGATCTCCGCTCCGCGCCCCGCCGCCGGCCCAACCGCGCGCCGCTCACCTGGGAACTTTTCAAGCGTCCCCCTGGCGCCGCGCAGCGCCTAGGCCCGCCATTGGCTCCCCGCCCACCAATCGCTTGCACCGGCTGGGGCACGCGGGGGCTCCCAGGGCATGCCGGGAGTTGTAGTTCCTGGCGCAAGCGAGGCGCCATGAGGCGGCTGGGCACGCTGAGCGGCGAGATGCTTGTTATCATTAAAATGTGAATAAAATAAATTACATAAAATATGTAATTTATACATAAATAACGACACTAGCAAAACGACTCGCTGGAACCCGTGCTTCACTTATATGCTGAATGAAGCTTGCCCAAAGAGCGGAGGAGTCCCACCCCTTAAATCCCCCAGCCGAGCCAAAAATCAGGGCAGAGCTTAGGCAGATGGTGGGTGGGGATGGAAAGGCAGTCCTGGGCAGGACTCCCAGCTGCTCCTGCTGCGGCATGGCACCCGCTGGCCTTTAAAAGAGGGCTCCAGTGGTGCAAACTGGGGCCTGCGGGGAGGCAAAGGGTGTCCTCTGCCTGCTGACCTTGTGCAAGGCCCTGGATCGCAGGGTATCCGCTGTCCTGCTCGTTTCTGGCTTTCACACAATCACAGAATGGTTGAGCTTGGAAGGGACCTCTGGAGAATATCCAGTCCAACCTCCTGCTCCAGCAGGGACACCCAGAGCATGGGGCACAGGGCGGCGTCCAGGCGGGTTTGGAAGAGAAGGAGACTCCACAGTCTCCCTGGCCTGTTTCAGGGCTGTGCCACCCTCACAGTTGGGTGATGGAACCTCATATGGAGGTTCATATTCCTCATATGGAGATGGAACTGCCTGTGGAATTTCCTCACATGGAGATGGAATTTCCAAGATATGAGCTTGACAACATGAGATATTGGCTACCTTCCTGAGGCTGATTACTGTTTTCTAACGATGACTGCCTTAAAATGAGTAGTGTTCCCCCTATACAGCTGTAGGAAGGTGTCTCTCCAAGAGTCCAGTGTACAAGAGGACGTCAATAGCTCTGACTCACAAGAGTCACCCAACCTAACACCTTATCACTGGCTGTAATAAGCAGTTCAAGAACAACAGCCCCGGAGAAGATTAATCCATCTTCTCATTGCGGCTGAGCCCTGTGTTCCTCCGGGCGGCCTGAGGACCAGATGAGTACTTGTCACCAGGCAATTAACCTCCGTCCTCCTGCACAGGAAGGATTAAATTCAATTATAATGAATCCTTCTAAGGTATTAGTAAGGGCCTGCGTGGCTACTCATGTTTACACCCAGGAAAAAGCCGCTTTCCTCCCAGGACACTCAGAAGGCATTTCTCTGTCTTCTACCTCTTCACTCACGCTGCTGTCAGGAAGGATTGGGTATTATCCATTGCCTGGAAAGCCATTTCAGAATTATTCAGCAGCAATGTGGTGGTTTTGAAAGAGTTTCCATACATGGGGTTCTTCATATGGTAAAGCAGAACGGCTGCCTTCAGGAGCCGCCTCACTGCCTTGCCGTGGCAGGTCAGGAACAGACCCACCTGCACGTCACAGGGCTGAAAAGCACAGATGCCTTTGCTTTCTGCCCCGAATACAGCAAACAACAGGGTACCTCAGGGTTTATTACACCTTTAGCCTCCTCTAAGCAGATTGCCCTTGGAGATCAGCTTCCTACTTCATTTAGCAACTACTTTGTTTACCTGCTTCCTTTAAAGGGACAGAGGGAGTCGCCAAGTCTGTGGCTTTTCGTACCCCCTTGTTAAGTTTCGGTCAGCTGAGAAGGCGCTGAGCTGGTGAAGTGATGCACAGCGATCGCGCAGAGCGGCTGTTACCAGAATCAGGTCTTTACCGGAGTGCAGTAAAGCCATCTAACCTACATACAACAGACCTGACCTCAACCTGCCTTTCGTAAGCGCCCTAAGGGACCTTTTTTTACAGCCTTGTGCTGGGTTTCTGCTTCCTGAGGTGCAGGAGCTGTCCCAGTAGCAATGCCGGCACTCCTGGATCTTGCCACACTCACCACAAGTTTTCCTGCAGCTTTCCATGGGGTGCTGAGGGAGGCCACAAAATGGCAAATCCTGCAGCGGCAGAACCAGTAGGGATTTAGTAGCACTGCACAAAGCACTGTCTCACTGATGGGATACTTTGCTCCCCACTACAGCATTTTCTTGCTAAAGCATGGAAAAACTGCAGCCTACCCTTTTTTTTCCAGAAACCTGAGCTGTATTTAGCCTTATGTGTTGTGAAGCAGGTTTGTTTCATGGGGACCAACTATGCAAACACACTCAGTAGTTCTGCAGTTCCCCTTGATAAGCTCCATTCTCTGTGGCTGTACACATCCAGGAGAGCTCCCTGTGATGCCTCACAGCAGCCAGCCTCTGCTGAGACGGAGCAGATAGACTAAAATAGTCCAAGCACCTCACAGCGATCAGTAGGAAAAGTACACAGTGTGTCCCCTTATAAGCACTCACAGAATCAGACTCCCCTTAAATTAGTACCTATGGTGCACCTATGGACCCAGTTTTGATGGATACATTAGGACATCTGTTCCTTATGGGTACAGGCTTAACTGCATCTGTGGAGTTCTTCAGAGCAGGTCGATGCCGCAGGAAGTTGGGTATTTGTTCTTGGGCAATACCAGCAGATGATAAATACCAGATACTTATTTCTGTGCAAGTGCTAGAAATGGGGATTCCCTAGATAAAAGAGACAAAATCATTCATCTACAATGTCAAAAAACACCAATGTGCATATTTTTGTTCAGCTCATAACCCAAGAGGCATGTTCCAAATCAGTTGAGCTTTGTTTTTTTTGGAATAGAATTCTCCACTTTGTGATATTGCAGATTAATCACTTTGATAGCTCAGCAGCTGAACCGAGCCCAGTAGCTCTCATTTCAAACAACAAACACCCAAACCAACAAGCAAACAAACCCTGGAACATTTAATTCCATGAATCATGGAATGAATCAGTTGGGGCCTTTGGCTCTTGCATGCTTCCCATGCTACTTCTTTTTAAAGCAATGAATGAGATCCCTACTGCTGAGGCAGTAGGGTCCTTTCCTACAAAGGGAACTGTTCCAGATGTTCTCACAGTCCTAATTCCACCATCCTTCCCAACAGCTATTGCTGAACTGCTTCCAGAGGTGCCAGAGCAGCGCAAAGGCAAGAAGGAACCATCAAACCTGGGTGGAGGAGGCAAAGGGAAGCCTCTAGTCTCAGAGCTTTGCAGATTCCTACTCCATCCCTGCAAGAGTAACACATCGTCCTGTGGTGCACCTCAGCACTGCTCACTTGCCCACGCTACGTACAAGGAACTTGGCAGCTACAGACAAGATGAGACCAGGAACGCCTGTGCTATATCTTAATGGTGTCAAAGAGCAGGTGCAAGAGATCTGGGTGGGTAACTATAGAACAATTTACCCACAAAGACACCAGGTCACTTGCATGGATCCTTAGTGCCTTTTATTCTTTTTCTTTTTTTAACCTTGAAACATGGCAGTTCTTACCTGTTTTACTGGGATGAGCACACAGGAATAGCATATTCAGCCATCACCCCAGTACTCCACTACCTTAAACTCAATTACTATAGAGAGTATCCAGGCAAGGCTGTCTGCCATTCACTGTTTGGGCATGATGCCATAGCTGTGATCACATTATCCTGGCCCTCCATTGACTACTCTTGACAAATTAATTCTTCTGTCACAGCTCTTTTTTTTTGAATCACTGCAGCATATTATATTAAATGAACTATGAAGCAAATTAAGCATATGCTTAATCGAAGTAAATAGGACATTTGTACAGCAAGAAGCTGAATGAATGATTAGCTGTTCTGCTGAACTGAGGCTCTATGAATTGTCAGATAACCGAGATGGAGTTGCAGTGATCTTTAGGATATGGGCGTAGAAATCCGCAGCAAGCATCACGGTGCAGCCCAGCCCACTCCAGTCTTTGAAGCATCCTTTTCCCAAACTTTGGCGCTTTTCACACCCAAAAGCAATAAAGCATTAAGCGGGAAAGCTCCCAGGCTTACAAGCTGAAGTACTGTAAGGAAAGGTGCCTTTCAGCCCACAGAAGATGAAACCAACTTGCATTTGTGACTGCCCTCGTTACAGCTCATGGCTCGTGGTACCTGAGGTTTTCTTTTGACTGGCTCTCGTTCACCCTGCTCTGAGCACTGACTGTATCATCACCTCTCAGTAGGGACTCACCAACCCAGACACTAAGGCGAAAGGATTTTTCAAAGCCTTTGATTTGAGT